CCCCCCCCCAAAAAAAAAAATAGTGTAGGGGTAATTATTAGGTCTCCATACCATAGGGGCCTTACTAATCACGATAGGGCTCCGTCAAGGCTTCCTTCTAACCCTAAACCCGAAACGAGGGTTTAGGGTTTCGGTCTAGGATTTCTCCATAACGGAAGTTTGCGGATTTAGGATGTAGGGTGTACTGTGAGGACCTGAACAATTCCACTAGATTATGCGCGAGTCTTAAATGGGGAATGCTATTCCTCCGACCCCTAGATTATGTTCAAGGAGGAGGCCACATGATGTCACAAGCAGAACTTGTCGGAACCGCTGGCAAAACTACCAGCCAAACATAGGGGGCGTGAATAATATTAAGTATTATTATTATTACTACTATTACTAGTATTAGTAGTAGTAGTGGTGGTAGTAGTAGTAGTAGCAGCAGTGGCAGCAGCAGCAGTAGTAGTCCCTCCGCCGTCGCCACATAACTGTGCTGTTTTTATACTGAAATACACTCCAAAACCCTCTTCCAAGGCCTGTATAAGACAACGTGTTTGGAGACACCCCGAATGATCAGGTGGCAGTTACCGGCCTCCAGGCAAACGACTGATTCAGCGCGTTGCGCTTCCAGGAGCCCGTCACCGTTGGAAGTGAAGCCACGGACAAAAGGAGGCAGAAAGTCTGCAGCTTCTTCCTTCGCACAGGCCGCAACTGCAGAGCCACTGCATGATATGTACCAAGCTATACTGATACTGTACTGTACTCTATATATACATACATATATATATATACTATACTATACTAGTCTATTCTGTTCTATGCTGCATAAATTTTGTCATGGACTATGCTATGCATAAATGATGTAGATATCTTGTGCTCAACGGGGAGTCCTGCGCCTCCGCGCACGGGCGCTCGGACAAGACGGAGTAGGACCTGAGGAACAACGAGCAGCGGCAGTGGAAACCCGAGGCTTAGGGTTTTTAGGATTAAGGCACGGTTTAGGGTTAACCCTAAACCCTAAACCCTAAACCGGTTAAGGGTTTGGGGGTTTAGGGTTTCGGGCTTAAGGGCTTAAGGGTGGAGGGGGATCTGGGCCTTAGGGTTCAGTGTTCAGGGTTGGGGTGTATGTCTGTCCGCATGTGGTGCATTTCATTAGGGTTTAGGGGTTTAGGGTTTAGGGTTTAGGGTTAGACGGTGTGTGGATTCTCGCGAAATCAGCCATCAGCGTCGCTGCTTCAAAAATCTGCAAGACTCAGGGCGTGCTAGGCATCGTGACGTACACGGTGCGTCTGTAACATCTAGCACAACAGCCAGCCAGAGAGCACGCTGCTCCTGTTTCCTTGCAACTGCATCATGCGCTTGGTGCACCAACCGCGGCGTTGCGAGAAAGCGGATGCTGACCGACGAACAAACATCCTGCATAACGCTTAATGCTCAGACTGTGCAATCGTTTCCGTAGTTTGGGTCCCTGAGGAACTGCACCAACTAGAAGCCCCAAAGAACACCTGTAAAGCCTCATCAAACCGCCAAGGCTCCCAAAGCAAAGCAAACTCCCGACACTCTAAACCCTAAACCTCTAAACCCTAAACCTTAAAGGGATCTTTACAGGGATCTATAAGGGTTCTATAAGGTTTAGGGCTTTTGAGATTTGTAGGGATTTGAAAGGGTTCCTTAAACCCCGAACCCGACGGAGCCACTGAGCTTTCGACACCTGAAACTCGGAAGGCAGGGTGAGCAGCGTTGGAAACGCTTGAGCTCCGTCACCTGTCACGGATCGGGCGCGCCGCCCCAAAACCCCAAACCAAAAAACCCTATATCCCCATTATGGTAGCATAATTTACTTAAGCCTAAACCTAAACCCTAAACCCTATATCTCTCTCCATGATGGTAGCTTACGACCCTAAACCTCGAGGGTTCCGAGCGTACTCTGGGCTTTAGGGTTTAGGGTCGTACTGTGTGTGGAGACTCGCTAAGCTTTCCGGTGCTAACTCTTCCAAAGAGGGCCCTTATGTAATGCAGGGGCCTTAATAATTAGAATCGGGTTTTGGGGTCCCTTCATAGTATGATCATAATCAGGAACCAGGAGGAATAATATTTGTACTGATTTAGGCTTCTATAGTAAGAGTCTAGTGTTGCATGAACTCCTCGAAAAAGGGATCGCCTGGTTGTGGATCTTGTTACATCGCAAAACCCTAAACCCTAAATCCCTAAAGTGTTGTATCGCAGATTTTTCACCAAGGGTTTCTTATCCAAGTACGTGCATGACCTGTATGTAGTTGACGCCTTGGGCTTCTGCGCAAACATGAAGCTTCCACCCTGACCCCTAAAACCGAAAAGAGTGATTTATTCTTTATTATATACATATATGTGGCCACTGCAGATTGACTGTCGGCTTGCACCGAGATGATCCGAGATGGGAGAACATCAAAAGGCGTGCAGCACCAAATAGTAGTATCCTTCTTATGAGGACCGCCCAAAAAAGTCGCCGTAACCCGAAAAGGCAAAGGACCCTTAATCAAATGTCAGGAACCCCATGCAAAATCCTTGTAAAACCTTCTCAACCCCCAAAATACAAAAAAAAACCTGTGAAAACCCTTCTGAAAAGCATACAAAAACCCTAACATCAGCCCCTCCTAAACCCTAAACCCTAAACTCTAAACCCTAAATCCTAAACTCTAAACCGCCTGCTTGTCGTGCCTTGGAGCGGGAAAGGCCGCCAGCGCAGTTGGATGTACCACTCCCTGGAGTCCTGCGCACAAACAGTGCCACAATGGGCTTAGGGTTTCAGGGTTTAGGGTTTAGGGTTTAGGGCTTAGGGTTTTAGGGTGTTAGGGTTTTAGAGTTTTAGGGTTTTAGAGTTTTAGGGTTTAGGGTTTTAGGGTTTTAGGGTAGTTTTAGGGTTTTAGGGCCTACGGTAGGGGCGTTAGTGATTGGGGTTCTTTGTTATGACCATAGTGTAGTGGGCCCCAAAACTCCATTCTCATCGGAAGCACACCCCAAGGGTCCAAGTACCTAATAATCATATACTCTCCCTAAATAGCAACCTACATAACTACTATCCGAAACCTCAGAACCTAATTCTTGGGTCCTTTGGACCCTTAGGGAAACAGGGTACAATGGCTTTAGGGCCTAAGTGTTGAGATTTCGGAGTTTAGGGATGAGTCGATACTATTAGGGTTTAGGGTTTAGGGTTTTAGACTATCGCAATTTGTTCAGGCCCCTAGATTGCGGCGCACTGGAGCCTTCGAGGAGCAGAAGACCTCCGCATCGATCAGCTTTAGCTTGCCAGCCTCAGACTGCGTCCGTTTGGAGAGCATGAGCTTTGGGGCAGCTCAAACAAATCGGATGCCTTTTTCTAGGGTCAAGTAAAAAGGATCCTACCGTGTAATTTGAGGTCTAACTCTCATACCGCCAAGAAAAGACAAAATCCAGGTCTGCTGGCAGGCAGCTTTCGTTCGTCTGCGCCTTCTTTTTCGTCGCGCTGCTTCTCTCGGAACATGGGGTGCTGTCTCCTGCAGCTCAAGCCATGAAGACACCCATGACACTCGATAGCATCCGGTATGTACAATCTATCTCTCGTTCAAGGTCGGAGCCAGCCAATGACAGGAAGCTGTCTTGTCTTTCGGACCCTACGCCTACTTCGACATGCTGCCTCTCATGTGTGGCATGTGCCATTGGCAGAAGCTGAAAGTATCCTGAAACCCTAAACCCTAAACCCTAAACCCATAGTATCCTGACCAGCAGAATCCCCGTCTTCGACCGGCGCCCTCTGCTGTCGCTCTTTGTCTTCCTGGCTTTCGCCCTCCTGAGCCTCCTGCGTGGACAGGTCCAGCGGTGAACATGCACATCAACCGGCGGAACTTCGCATTCCCAGAGAACCCAATACACCTTAACTAAGGAATATGCCTTAAATTATAGGGGCCTTAACATATTATGATCTTAAGGTATATTCCTTAATTAAGGGGTATTGGGTTCTCTGGACTCAAGTCTGCGAGACTGCGCATGGTGTCTGGCCCGAGAAGGAAGCTCTCATCTAGAAAAAAGTACGATTCGTTGCGGGCGCGCATGATTTTTGCGCTGGCTAGGCATGAAAAGACTCGAAAAGACATCCTGAACCAACATGAGAAGCCGCCACGATCAACGGCAAATGGCTTGGCTTCCAGGCTCCCGGTGTGGAAGCCTAGTACACTGCGCCACCCATAACTGCTCACTCCTCAAGCATGTAACGGCTGAGGGTTTAGGGTACTTAGGGCTTCTATACCCACATGTGCATGACAAAACAATGGATGCTGATTCCTGTCCACGTCCGCAGAAAACCACTTGGCTGGGTAGGACCTCTGAAAGCAATCTCCGCCCGTCTGTTGATGCGGGCTAGTCCCCCAACCAAACCATGTCCTGGCCAGCGGAATCCCCGTCTTCGATCGGCGCCTTCTGCTGTCTCTCTTCGTCTTCATGGCTTTCGCCCTCCTCAGCCTCTCGTTCCCCGCCTCCCCGCTCGTCCTCTGCCTGGTCGTCCTCTTCCTCGCCTCCCTCCGCGCTGTCTCGCGCCTCGGCCTCCTCTGCCTCCGCTTCCTTAGGCTCCTCCTGGGTGGCTTTCGCTGGCCCGTCCTCGGCCGCCCCACGCTCCTGACGAGGCAAAGGCATCCCATTGCACAGGACTGCACACAAGTCTTATGGGGTTCGGGGTGGAGGGCCTCCCTAAACCTTAAGCCCTAAACCTTAAACCCTAAACCTTAAACCCTAAACCTTGAAGCCTAAACCTTAAACCCTAAACCTTGAAGCCTAAATCTTAAACCCTAATAAACCTTAAACCCTAAACCTCCTTGTTTGTGCAGGGTCGGGTCCTCCTTCGCTTCATCAGCCTCCGTCCTTGGATCAACGCTCTCGTCCTCGCAGATGCGGGAATTTAGGCAGGTCTCCAAATAAGGATCCTTCTGGGTGCCCAAAATAGTACGGCACCCTTATTGAAAAAAGGATCCTAAAAGGGACCCTAATTTAGAGAACTACCCATTTAATTGTGGGAAGAATCCCCAAGCTGAAAGACATCACGGCTTCATGACAGACAGCTGCCACAGCAAATGCTGCGATCCATACTCTAACTACCCCTGATTCTCTGAAAAGCAAGCGTAAGTTTCTGCAATAGCAACTCTTAAATTCTGAAAACCCTAAACTCTAAACCCCAAACCCCAAACCCTAAACTTTAAACCCCAAACCCCAAACCCTAAACTTTAAACCCCAAACCCCAAACCCTAAACGAGCCAAGCCAAGCCACGCCCTGAACCGCAGGGTCCCGACACTTAAAACACTCAGAATATCTCCAAGACGAATCCCCTACCGAAACCCCGACAAGTAGGAAAGAAACGGCCCCAAAACCTAGAAGGGGCCATTCGTGCACAGGCTTTTGGGGTCCAGGTAAAGCCCCTAACCCTAAACCTTAAACCCTAAACCTTAAAGTTACCATTGCCCCGCCTGTGACATCTCCTGGTCTGAACCTTCGCTGGTGGACACCTGCTCCAGCGGCGGTGGGACCACCTCACACGTAGGGTTTTGGGCTTTGGGTTTAGGGTTTGGGGTTTAAGTTTATGGCTTTCGCTGCAGGGTTTGGGATTTCGGGGTTTGGGTTTACGGCTTTATCTCTGAAACCTCTCACACCGTAAAGTCTCACGAGTTGGCTTGCTCGTAGCTGCAGCGAGAGAATGGGCAGCAATCCCAGCATCCGGGAGCTGTTAAAATCACGCCTGGGTCCACAAGACAAGAATTGAATAATAAGGTTACTCTTATAAGCACCCCGGAATAGGGTTTAGGGTGTAGGGTTTCGGCATGACGCTATGGTAGCAAACAGGAATACTGTTCCTCCCGGCTCCGTAGTAAAATTTTGGTATCATCTAACCCTAAGCCCCAGTCTCTAGCCCTCTAACCCTTAAAGCGCCTATGAACCCTAAACCCTACCCAAAGGCTCCATTGTAGTTCCTTTTGTGGTCAACATTTAGGATCCTATAAGGTAACCCCAAAACGGAACAACTTCGGAGCCTATGGGTAAAGCGCCTATGAACCCTAAACCCTAAACCCTATGAACCTTAAACCCCTAAACCCTAAACCCCCCTAAACCCTGAACCCTAAACCCTGTGAACCCTAAACCCTATGAACCCTAAACCCTGTGAGCCCTAAATCCCTAAACCCTATGGTAGCAACGGGAAGCCGACCTCGGGGAGCATGAGGTGCAACGGCTTCGACGGAGGTGACCAGGCCGAGCACTGCTCATCACTGCGAACCTCACGGGTTTAGGGTGTAGGCATTAGGGTTTGTGGGCTTTTTTTTGCTTTAGTGGTATTATAGGGGTTTAGCGTTTGGAGTTTGCGGGTTTAGGGCTTTAGGTGTTGAGGGGTTTAGGGTTAACAGCTTAGGGTTTAGTGTGCGGGCAAGCAGCGCTCTAACAAAAAGATCGGATGTAGGTGCTAAGTACGAACTGATGTAGAATTCCACTTGTAACCTCTTTGCTGTGTCCTTCTCGACGGGTCCTACGTGGGAGTATACCAGGGTGATATTACCGCTCATCCCGACCTCTATCATTTAGCAGCCGGAATACCCTAAACCCTCAACCCCTAAACCCTAAACCCTAAACCAATATCGGTCTCGCAGGCTCCTTATTGCAAAAATCCTACAACATACACCAGAGCCCTATTCCCAAAATTGAGGCCCCCAATTATACCGAAACCCAAACCCTTATAATCAGCCCTTATAGGAACCCTACTCCAAAAATCCAGGCCCCAACAGCATGCAGTGCGCTTGCCGAAGCTTAGCTCCCCACCTGCACGGCAAAGATGTAATGATGAAATCCTCAGAGCAGAAAGAAGCGACGGCGGTTGTGGGGTTACTTGTAGGATCATGGGACTTAGTAAGTACAGATATATGAGTACCCTAACTGGAGATATCGGCAATGATAGGTAGAGTTGCCTTATTTCTAACCCTAGATACCAAGTCCCATGATCCTCCAAGTAGGGGTCATAAGGTTAGGGTTTATGATCTAGGGCCTAAGCGGTTTAGGGTTTGGGGATTGAGAGTGTTGGGGTTCGGGAGTAGCGGCGTCCCAGCAATCATCTTTGGCTTCCCCAGCTACTAGGTTCGTCCGTGTCGCCGGGTCCGAACACCTCGCAAACCCTAAACTCTAAACCATAAATCCTAAAAGAAAAAAGCTTCAGAAAGCTAGGGATTTCATACGTATAGGTTCTTTCACTAAGGTGCCAAGAATAGCCCTACGAAATCCTTCTAAAAAGCCTACAAAACCTTATTCCAACTATGAAGGGTTTAGGGTTTAGGGTTTAGGACTCCTTCTAAAAACCCTACAAGGGTCTCTACCATGCATGAAGCCAGGAGGCGCAGAAGCGGCAAGGAGGTCACGTCGTACATGAAGTTCGCCATGTAATTCTCACCAGCCACAAGCTTGCCTCACAGTGAGATGGAGATAAGGCCGGGGCCGTGTATTCGGGTTGACATACCTGTCACAAGCTTTCACTCCAGGGCCAGTGCCGACATCAGTCTCGTCTGCTGCTTCCTGGCTCACGAGTAGCACGTGCTGGCACCCTAAGCCCTACCCATAGGCTCCGAAGTAGTTCCTTTTTGGGGTTACATTATAGGATCCGAAATATCACCACAAAAAGGAACTACTTTGGAGCCTATGGGTAAACCCTAAATCGCAGCGGCAGTGGACAAGCTGCGTCGGAAACAGAAGCACTTCTCAGCCGCTCGCTTGCATTGGCACGATGGGGAGCTCTTGCCACGGCAAGGCGTCTGAGTTTTTGCCAGGTGGAACCTGCAAAGACACATGTCGAAAGCAAAGGCAACGGAACCCAAAAAACCTTCAACCTTGGGCACTGCCCCCATACGGTAACAGTCTATACTAGGGCTACTATGAAGGGCCTTATATATCCATATTATGAATATTACCCAACTGTGACTGAGTGGGGGCAGTATCCAACCTACACGCTAAACCCTAAACCCCTAAACCCAAGGTTCGCGCCTCCTTGTACCGGAACTGGAACCTGCTGACGAAGCCTGGGGGCAAGGAAAAAATGCAGATTCGGCAAACTGTTCGGGTAAAGGGTTTAGGGTTTAGGGTGTAGTGTAGGGTCCAAACCCTAAACACCAAGAGACCGGGGCCCGCACGAATCGCATGCACAAGTCCCTATCATATAATTAATTACCAACATGTGCTATACACTCTGGGACATAAGTTGCTGGAATATACAACAAGCAGTCTAATCTGCTGTATAATACGACAATCTGCTAGAAAATGTTGTGATACACAACAACTTATTATTGTATAGAGCCTACTACAGAAACAGTCTAACCCGGCTGCTCAAGATCTTCATCCCTAAGCCCTAAACCCCAAACCCTAAACCCCTAAACCCTAAATCCTAAACCCCTAGACCCTAACCCCTAAACCCTAAACCCTAAAACCCAGAAACCCTAAACCCTAAACCCCTAAACCCTAAACCCTAAACCTCTTCACCGAGTTGGCTCCGCACCCCCGCGCGAAGCCACCGACCTTGCCTCTCTGGTTCTTAGTAGGGAATGGGGGAATGGATCCCTATGATAGTCCCTTAAGGTCCCCCAAAGTAGTCCCAATAGTCCCATTCCCCCATTCCTTACCCTAAACCCTTAATCCTAAACCCTAAACCCTAAACCCTAAAGATCCCTTTAAGGAACCCTATAGATCCCTTTAAGGAACCTTAGATTTCTCCCCCCCATTCCCTACTAAGAACCAGAGAGTTGCGGGCGAGAGGCCGAAGGAAGGCGCTCGCCAGTCCATGCCTGGAGTCTTGTAGAGGGAATTGATTTAAGGCTTAGGGTTTAGGTTTAGGGATTTAGGGTTTAGGGATTTAGTTTAGGGTTTAGGGTTTTAGGGCTTAGGGATTTAGGATTTAGGTTTGAGGGATTTAGTTTGAGGTTTAGGGTTTTAGGGCTTAGGGATGTAGGATTTAGGGTTTAG